ATTAGTCAATGCTTCCAAGAGTTTGCAGGGCTGAGACAAGTCTCCTCAGATTCCACATGCTCTGAGTTGGATTTAATGTGAGACTGTTATGGTTTGTGTCTGCATATCCTTCAAATCCTCATGTAGTCACGGGGCAGGCTTCTAGATTTTTTTATTGATCTATGGTCCAATGCTGGGACTATGGGTGTGAGTGCTACACCTGCCCTGGGGCGGGTAGTTTGCATATGATATAAGGGAGGGAAAGAGCCTTGTTCTCTGCCACTCCTCCCTTTTTGCTCTTGCTGCTTTTGCTGTTCCGCCACCATGAACTATTGCCCTCTGCCTTGGAGCCAGCCAAGTATGGACTGAAACCTCCACAAACTGTAAGCTAAATAAACCTTTCCTTCCTTCATCTTGGGCATCAGATATTTTGTCCCAGCAATGAGAGAAAAGTAACCAAGACAGAGACACAGAAGTCTACAAGATTAGCCTATTAGCCTACAATGGCCACCCACAGAGTCAAACGTAGTGTGTGAAAGACCTATCTGCACACTAGAAATCTGAAGGATCCAGTTGAGTGCCTGGAGCTTACTGCAGTGTCCACATGAGAAGGCTGAAGGATCTGCCATGAAAGATTGAGGGGACGTTGTCGGGATGTTGAACAGTCAGCACTAGGAGCTAAAGAGCCTGCACCAGCAGGCCAAATCACTGGTCCTGGAAACTGAGAATCTGCGCAGAGAGCCAGGAGTCCATGTCCTAGGAGAAGGAGAAGGTGAAGGCGAAGACCATTGCTCCTCCAGAGAGAACAGCAGTCATCCCTGTTAATGGCAAGGACCAGATCTCCTCCAAGAGAACAGCTGAAGCTCCACCGAGGAAAATCAGCTGCAACAAGGCTCGTTCAAGGAAAACCAGCTGAAACCCTTCCCGCTTGTTCTCCTTTTATAATGCTCTGACAACAGCCCTCGAAGTGAGTCCTCCACGCCCAGAACCGTGCTGACTCAATTCAGCTGGGTGTTTCCCACTCAAGTTGACAATCAGTTCATCACACTCTACTGAATCTCAAAAGTCACTTGTGGAAATGACTTGTGGTTATCAATATATCAAACTATAGGTACAAGGAATCAGTACATTGAAATGAAAAAAAATGAGTCATTATCTTTTTCTCATGGTTTAAATTTTGTCATCTACAATTTAATTTTTGTCATCTACAATTCACTCTTTGAAAAAAACCTGGTTTCTCCTTTTGGTCAGTGAATATTTAGTAACATTCTTTAGCTGTGGTAGAAGAATAATATGGTTGTGGGAGAAGGGCCTCAGTACCCTCATCCTTAAATTGGGCATATGAGAGCTATGGATCTCCTTATTACAGAGTTATGTGTGTTAAATACAGCCACTTCTAGTACATAGCAATACAGTATTTTTTATTCTACATAGATGTATATGTACAAAACATTCATGTACTCAAACGTGACTAAACAAATAGAAAAAAGAAGGCTCAGTGTTGGAGCTCAATGCATTAGTCAGCTTTCAGTCACTGTAACAAAATAGCCAAGGCAATAAATTTAAAAAGAGGAAAGGCTCCTTCGGGCTCAGAGTTTTGGAAGTGTCAGTCCACAGTCAGAGGGCCCATTGCTCACAGCCTTTTACAAGGCAGCACATCATAGTGGGTGATGGGAATGTGTAGCAGAGAAAGACCTCATCTCATGGTCAGAAGTAAAAGAGAGAAAGAAGAAGCTACAGTCTCAGTGTCCATTTCAAGGGCATGGTCCCCACAACAGGAAGACCTCCCACTCGGCCCCACCTCTGTGACATTCCACTGCGTCCCTATAGCTCCACTGCTTGGGATCAGGTCTCTAACACACGGACCAACTCAGCCAAACTAGAGCTTTTGTTCGTCCATTCACTCAGCTATCACTGCCAGAGCCTGGAGGAATTCAGAGACTGTGACAGGTGGGACTGGAAAAGACTGTCAGAGCCGTGAGAAAGGAACATGAGAGGACAAGGACCCTCCAGAGTAAGCAGAGAAGGTGTTATGTGCATAGAGAGTGAAGGTGCAAAGCTGGAGACATACGGACGTCAGGTGGTTAGGAAGAATTTGGCCTGAGCAGAAGGTAAGAGTCCCAGCGAGAGGGGCAGATGATGAGACCAGACAAACCAAGGCGAGTGTGGACAGCTGCACTTGGGCCGGATCCACTAGTCAGGGAAGAGTCATCCGGCCAAATGAAGGCATTCGTAGTTTACAGAAGCAATTCTTTAGACCTATGTTTGAGACTGAGTTCAGAGGTCACACTAGAGGCAAACTCCACTGGGGAAAAATAGCGGATACACAGAATAAGGGATCCAGCTTCCAGTATTGGTTTGCACACTAACCAGTTGCCTAAAATTGGTTGTTTCTAACATCCTCATAGATATTAGAGGAGCCGGGGTACAGATCAGTGCCACAGCACCTGTCTGGCAAGTGCAAGGTTGTGAGTTCGATTCCTGGTACCCCCCAAATAAATAAATAAATAAATATTAGAGGAGATCAGACAATTTACAAAATATTGTCATGCATTTTTTTCTTTCAGTTTAAAAAGTTTCCACTTTTAATTAATATAATTATATGTACTTATGAAATGCAATGTGATATTTTTTCTTTTTCAAGATAGGGTCTTGCTATGTAGTTCAGACTGGCCTTGAACTCACTATGTAGCCCAGACTGACCTTGAACTCATAGAGATCCTCCTGCCTCAGCCTCCTGAATGCTGGAGTTACAGAGGTGCTCCACTATGCCCAATTATGAAATGCAGTGTGATGTTTACAAACATATATACAATGTTGTCTTGGTTACTTTTTTCTCATTGCTGAAACAAAATACCTGAAGCCCAAAATGTAGGAAGGAAAGGTTGATTTAGTTCAGAGTCTATGGAGGTTTCAGTCCATACTTGGCTGGCTCCAAGGCAGAGTGGCACATGGCAGGGGGCAACAGTTCATGGCAGTGGAAAACAGCAAAAGCAGCAAGAGCAAAAAGGGGGAGCAGCGGCAAGCAGCGTTTTTCCCTCCCTTACACTGTACACAAACTACCCACCACAGGGGCAGGTGTAGCACTTACACCCATAATCCCAACATTGGACCGTGCATGGATCAAGCAAAAATGTAGAAGCCTGCCCCATGACTGCATCAGGATTTGGGGGGACATGCAGACACAAACCATAACAAATATGTACCAATGAAAATTGAGTAATTACCATATTCATGTCACCTCAAATATTTAGCCTTTTGAACATTCAAAGTCTTATTTTTTTGAAATGTGAAATACATTATCATTAAAGATATTCACCTATTATGGAGTAGAACTTATTTCTGCAGTCTGTAACTTTGAGAGCATTTTTTTTTTTGGTACCAGGAATCGAACTCAGGACCTTGCATTTGCCAGGCAGGCTCTTGTGCTGCTGAGCTATATCCCCAGCCCAGTCTGTAACTTTGTACCCACTGCCCCTCCCCACCCTTCCTATATTCCCTCAGCTCTTCCCACATTCTTCATCTCCATTCTACTTTCCACTTCTATGAGATCAACATTTTTAGTGTTTTTAAATATTGTTACAAAGCATAACATTATATTTTTACTGGCAAATTGGTTTTTAGAGAAGCATGTTCTTGGTGGTTCAGTGCACATCACTGATTCCTTTTATATCATGTTTATGCCAAAAGTTGAAAAGACATAAAGTCGTTAGCATGAGGACTAATTTTAGTGATGAAGCCTGTGTTCATATATTCCACCTGGACTTTTTTCCTGAGTGATTTACCCAAGAGTGATGCAAGTAGCACGTGCAAACCTAATTTGCAAAATTGTATAAATTTCTCATGGAGTCTCTGATTACATGAATTCCTCTTATATTGACTACAATAAATTGTAGGGCAATAGTTATCAAGAATGTGGTAGCTAGCCAGGAGTGGTGACACATGCCTGTGATCCCAGCACTCAGGAGGCTGAGCTAAGTGGTTCGCTGCCTCTCCTGAAGCCTAAAGTGATAACCACTTGGTCACAGTTTGTAAAACCAAAGGAAAGCCAGAATAAACCCTCTGGTTTCTCTTGCCTTTAGTTCCTTGCTTTTAGTTGATTTCAAAACTCATTTTGGAGATCATACAACTAAGAAATATATTATTAGTCTCCCACTAGCTTTGCCCTATGGCACTTCCAAAATGTGTACCATGTTGACAGTGATTGATTACCTAGGTTAATTTGCAGGGACTTTAAGGTCACCTTGGTTGAAGCCACTGACTCTTTCCTTGGGTCTGCGCAGTGTAAAACAGGTGACCTTTTGCCATCAAGGATTTAAAACTCCATCCTCAGCTCATGCTAATGCTACCATTTTATGACCAAGCATCCTATGAAGGTCCATGAAGACTGCTCACACAAATCACACCACTGATCACTTCACCTGCACTCACAGTTCCCCACAGCTTGGACACCCTGCTTCTTCACTTCATGAATGTCCCTAAACCCCACCCTCAGGAAGTGGGTTAGAGACTTGCACTCCTTTTTCCACCACTCTGCTTCCTTGTGAATAGCCCTGTTCTCTTCTGTGAAACTCACTGCTTCTGTCATTGGTGTACTGCAAGCAGGAAAACAGGCCTGGCTCAGTAATGACTCCAGAACTATAAACCAACAACTCATTCCTTTCTATAAGTTAACTATCTCTGGTATTTTGTCATAGTTATGGAAAGCTGACCGAAACAGGTCCCAAGCCGTCCTCATTCCAATCTTCATCACTGGTACCTGTTGAATTTCTCCCTCTAGGTATCGCAACAGGTGTGTTCATCTTCTGCCCCATAAATGTGCTCTTCTTTCTCTGTTCTTAAGGAAACCACAGTTTTAATAATCAATGCTTCCTTCACGCTTCACCTCCCTGTCAGAATCTAATCAGTTATCAAAACATGCTGATCTTCTCAAATTCCAGTTTTTTGCCTGTTTTGGGGCCTGGTCTATTATTTTTTTTTTTAAAGAGGGTTTTGCAAAGTTGCTAATTGCCCAAGCTGACCTCAAAGTCAAAGTCATAATCTTCCTGCCTCAGCTTCCTGAGAGCCAGGATTACAAGAGTGTGTAGCTGTGTCCAGTTTGCAAAAATGTCATTATCCTTCTCCCCACCATCAGTCTTCCACTGCTTGTTTGCTTCGCAGAATACCAGCGTCATGAGGGTGACACCCAGCCCTTCCCCGTGGCTTTCTTCTACTCACCTTCCCTGGTGCACCATCAGCTATGACATTAAGGGGTTTAACCTGCAGCTACTGCCTCGGCGAAACTCAACCCGTAACTCTGGCTACTTTACTGCTTCTACCCTCTCTCCTCAGCCTTCCACACCAACGAAAGGTTTATAGTTTTCTTTACAAATCATTCTGCTTTCACCCCAGTCACTTCTATAAGAAATATTTGTCAACCGTCTACTCTACTCAACTCTATGGTTGAAGATCCAGTGCTGAATTAATTGTCTACGCAGAGGTTATTGTCTAGTGGACTCTTCCAGAATTCCCATCTGCTACCCACATTCAAACAAGTCTTACCTGTTGTTAGGCTCTCCCTTCCTGAAAAGACTTCTGATCTACCCGGCTTTCCACCCCTTTGTATCTGTCTCTTTCCCCTCAGAGGGCTCCAGGAGGCACGAATATATCAACAAATAGAACCTCTGTCCAGGAATGTAGAATTCATGAAAACTGCATGCCTGTCTCCATGGAAATGGAGGGAGAAACAGGCAAACAGTGCATCCCTGTGTTACAAGGACAGATTGCTTTAAGAAACATCCCCTGGGCCCCTGATGACAGGGTGCTTGGCCATGAGTAGGTGAATTTGTATAACTGTGGGGAGGAAGTGTTAGAGATGCACAGAATTTCCACCAAGGGCAATTAAGAAAGAGAGAGTATGATAAAGACACCTGAGGAATAAAGTCAATAAGCCAGTGTAGCTGGAATACAACGGATGAGTACTGGACGCTTGGTTGGGATACATGGATTTAAGGCACGGGATAGCGGGGAACCATTTAAATTGAGTGTAGAATCTCAGTTGTGTGTTAGGAGGAATTAGATGGGATACGTGTGAAGCAGGGAAAGGCTTGTGTGATGAGGTTGACGGCAGAAACAAAAATACAGTCACCTGTCAGTTCCTTCAGGGGGTGGGTCCCAAGGTCCTCTGTGGATGCCTAAATCCCCTGATGCTCAAGTCTGCTCCATAAAATAGTGTCCCATTTGCGTATAGCCAATATACATCCTCCCAGATGCTCCATGTCACCTCTAGGTTACCCACCACACCTGGTACAAGGCAAATGCTATGTAATTTGTCCTTATACTGTATTGCTTGAGGGGACGATCGTCAAGAAAACGAAAGCTTCACATGTTCAGCACAGATATAGTTTTGTTCAGGATATTTGATCTGAGGTTGGTTGAACAGAGACATGGACGCAGAGGGCTGTTTTATAAAGGAACAAATTGATGTTGGAAATATAAAAAGGGTACCTAAAAACAGAAATGTTTTTATGAACAATAAAACACATTTAGAACATGTTTTATGACTGTAAAAGCTTTAATTCATCTGAAAGTTAAAAGGCCCTGTTTCAGTCATGTAATAATATAAACTAGATAAAGCGAAGATGGACAGAGTTAACAGAACTAGAAAAGTGCACAGATAATGAGACATCTCTTTTTTTTTTTTAAATAAAAGGAGGAAAACATTAACAGACAGACAACCTTTCACAAAATAGCAAAAGACGGGGCTGGGGATTTAGCTCAGCGGCAAAAGCGCCTGCCTGGCAAGCGCAAGGTCGTGAGTTCGGTTCCCGGTACCGGAGAAAAACCAAACCAACAAAATAGCAAAAGAACAGTACAGACAATACAGAGTTACAAAGTGGTAGGGAATTAACAATGCTTGTTGTATTACATATTGATATCTTCAAAGTGGCTTCTCATGAAAACAGAGACATGCAATATTGATCAATCAAGGACTCACTAACAGCTTCTTTCAGCAAAGAAATAGAAGACAGTAGAACAACCATGTTAACTATCCTGCATACACATACATACAAAATTTCTCCTCCTTTCCCTTCTCTTTTCCCACATCCCAGCTGCCCTTTACCCTTGAGCGTTTTCCTGTCATTTCACAATGTCTATCATACCTCCGAGTTTAAATTAACTCTTTCAGGTTTTTACACTAGTGAGACAATGCGGTGCTTAGAACATTTTAAGATTTCCACCACGAAATGCTGCTGCTTGCGCCTGTTTACATCTTGCAACCCGGCGGGGATGGGAGGCCCCCCAGGGCGAGGACCAGGTCTCCTCCCAGAAACTCTGCACCTCAGCCGTTGGCAGAGCCCCTGGCCCCTTCTAAATTAGTCAATGAGCTTGTTAACAATGTTTTCCTCCCTGAGAAAACAAACATCACCTATAATTATGCAAACCTCGAAATTCTAACCCATTTTTCTTTGGAACTAAAGAAGAAGAAACATACTGAAAGGAATTTCAAGCCACTCTTTTTTCTTTATAGAGCTTTGCCAGGTATTTTGATTCATTGGATTGTGACTTTTTTTATATAAATTAAGTTGCTGGAGAACAGAGGTAAATGTAAACTCCCAGTACTTTTGAACTGTCATATACATAAGTGTAACTTATTGACTAACCTCTCTAAAACGCTATCTTGAGCGGCCTGTTTTTCAAACACAAAGCTAGAAAAATAATTTTCCTCTCTTTTGTTGTATAGATTAGTGGGGTTTATTTTGACAGATTCACACATGTATGTAACAAACTATGATCATTTCCACACATAACACCCCCATGACCTGCTTTACTCAGAAAAACACTTTTAATTTTTTCTTCTTACCTATTAGATATTTGTACCATTTTAAAAGATTTTTGTGTGAGGCTGGTTTGATATCTATCAAGTTTCATATTTTTTAGGGTTTTTATAGGAACGTTCCATGTCACTTATAATGCAATAAGCTAAATCAAACTGGTAAATTTTCTTCTTAAATATTTCTTTCTTCCTCCACATCCCCATAGCTGATGATGACAGTTCAACATCTTAAGTTTATGTTTTCGGGATCCTTTCTGTTGCTTAGAACTGCGCCCCATTGCATGTGATGTTTATAATTAATTTCCAGCTCTTTTCTGTCACTCTTTGTTCTCTCCTTGTTTACAGCTCGGCATGTCTACTCACACGCAGTCTCCACAATATACTCTTGGTTTTTCTCCGGTACCGGGAACCGAACTCACGACCTTGCACTTGCCGGGCAGGCGCTTTGCCGCTGAGCTAAATCCCCAGCCTCTCCACAATATACTCTTTTAATTCTCTGTGTGGCCACAACTAACACAAAACTAAAAGGCCAAAACAAAGCCAATAAAAACTTAAAAGTATGCCTCTCTAACCTGAAACTCTCCTTCCACACTATTAGGCATTATTATTCTTACTTACTATAAAAATAAATTAAATCCCAGTACTCAGCAGGCTGAGGAAGTAGAATTGCAAGTTCAAGGCTAGCATGGGCTACATAGCAAAACCTGGTTTTGAAAGAGAAAGAGAGAAATTTAATACAAAATTGCACCAGTTCAGTTTTCAGGGCAAACAGAGAAATGTTGAAGATTATTTTGAGATCATCAAAACAAAATTAATGTGGAATTTATTCATAAGGATGAATAATAGTACTGTACAAATAAATTATTATACATTTCTTCTTTAGTTGATTAGATTTCCTAGATCGCATCTTAATTGGAAAGGTGATTTGATTCATCAAATAAAATCTCACATTTGGAGTTTTCAAATGGAACATTACAATAACTATGGCAAAGAAAAGAATTCATTTGAAGTTTTGAGGGCCAGGGATACAGCTCAGTGGCACAAGCACCTGCCTGAACAAGTACAAGGTTCTGAGTTCGATTCCTGTTACCAGAAAAAAAAAAATAAAGTTTTGAGTTCATTTTTTAAGTTTATTTTTATTAGTACATGTTTGCGGTGAATAATGATTATAATTATCGTGGGGAGCTGGCACATGTACACAATACATCTTAATTCTTCTGTCTGTCTCTTTTTTGTTTTTTACATGTGTGGGGGTTTTTGTTGTTGTTGCTTTGGTTTTCCATCCCCTATTCTTGTCCCTTTCACCCTGCTCCTTGCAACTGTTAGTCCCCTTTTTATTTGCAAAATCTCTATTTTCATCATTTTTTTCTATCCCCTACCACTCTGGCAAAGGAACCAAGGAGGACGTCGGGAAATGGAAAGATACCCTTTGTCCCTGGGAAGGCGTAACTGATATACAGATTTAACTCAACCCCAATAAAACACCAGCAGATCTAGAAAATACAGTCCTAAAATGTATATGGAACCAGAAGAAATCCAGAATAGCAAGAGCAACCTTGAGGTCATCTCGACAACTAATGCCAAGTGTTTCTCCTCCCTCTACTATCAATAATCAGACCAGAGTGCAAGCTCCCGCTGAGAAATGTCGATGTACTCAGCCCCACAACCAACTTTCAGTGTCCACTTCTAGACATTTTCCAGCCAAACAGCTCTGACTTTCTACCGAAACCCCCACCAGAGGGTTCAGGTCTCCAACCTGGCAATATGGCACATGGACGCAAAACAAAGACAGAGAGAGAATATTCTGCAGTTGAGGAGCTCGGGCATGACCCAGTGTTCTCTGTGGAGTGAGAGGCCACGAGTCCAAAGCTCATGGTTTTTATTGGTATCAACTAGGGAGGTGGGGGAGGTGCAGCAGAGTACTAGGAGAAAAAAACTTTGCAGGCATTGGCTAGAACGAGAAAAAGAGCAATTCTGTACCAGGCACAAAGACCTCCAATTAGCCACGCAACAGTCTGCTGTATGCAAGGCTGGCACCCTTACTGCCAGGGAGGTATAATGCGTTCCAAGTCTCAAGGCCTCAGCTGAGATTTTATCTCATGTCTTAGCCCTGGACACTCCCGAGCTCTTGCTTGAGCCCCCATTCTAGCCATCAGGAAGCGGGCAATTCTCACCCAGACTCAGTCACATTCTTGTAGCCAACTAAGGGAACATCTGGTTTGATATAGCCAGCTGTGCATATCTCAGTGAACAGGGTTGAAGGAAAGATCAGGGAAAGATGGAGATGAGGGGTTCCATTTCTCAGGGGAAAGCGGCTTGGTAGTGTCCCACTACTTTCCAACACGTCCATGTCAGACT